ATAAAGTTGAATACGCCCCTTCCCTCTCCACCAAAATAAAACCCCATCTCATACATTATCTTTCACCCCCACACTCCCCTCTTTTACCCCCTACACCCCTGCCCATCTCATCCATTCCCCCTCCATTCCTGTCCCTATTCCGTACACCCCATCCCTCGTATATTTCCCGATACATATCTCTTATCTTACAACCCCTCCTACCTCAATTGTAGGAAAAAAAGTCACAGGAAAAAAAAAAAACACAGGAAAAAAAAACACAGAAAAAAAGTCACAGGAAAAAAAGTCACAGGAAAAAAAGTCACAGGAAAAAAAGTCACAAATATATATTTGCATGATACTTGTTAATACTTTTATGTATTAAATATTCAGAGAGTGCAAATTAACTTAGGATTAATTAAATGTAATGTAATGTGTGTAGGCTGTATACGCATAGGAATTTTTTATAATTCATCTAAAAATATTTAGTATGAAGTATGTAGATTGTAATTATTTTAAACTTAAGATTAGTAGCGTTTAATAGAATGCTCCAAAGTCCACGGTTTTAATCCTGTATTTTTTTAAATACCAACATTAAATTACCGTGAAATGGTAAGTTCGTCTGACTTGCTGCCCTCAACTCATGGCCACAATAGTTATGTTTAGATGCTTAGTTCAACCACCTTTACTGCCCACATTTATCACGCTCATTACATAACAACACTTAGGATAAAAAAAAGAAAGCCGACAATGTTCAAATGCTGTCATTGACGCATGACGTCAACAACACAAAATATGTTCGGACAATGCCTACTGAGGAGAGGCCGACCAGAGAATAGCCTACGGCGAAATGTGCCTAAATTTTTTTTATAGTTAAATTATCTACCGCGTTTTTAACTAAATACGTAACAAAAGTTGAGATTGTTGTGTAAATTATATTAGAGTATTTTTACTTACAATTGTTATAAATCATAATGCTTTTAACGTCTATAAATAATTTATGCTATAAAAAAATACAACCCACAACAAGAAACATACAAAATTTTACAATTCTAAACAAATAAAAAAAATATTTCTAAAAATATTTTTGTGACTTTTTTTCTGTGACTTTATTTCTGTGACTTTTTTTCCAAAAAATTTTTTCCACTGTGACTTTTTTTCTGTGACTTTTTTTCCTAGCAAAAACTGTGACTTTTTTTCTGTGTGTTTTTTTCCTGTGACTTTTTTTCCGTTTACCCCTACCTCATGCTACTCACGCCATCTTGTACACCCCCACCCCTTTCGTACACCCCCATCACTCGTACATGTCCCGATACATAATCTCCCTTCTCTATCACACTCTCTTGTACACCTCCCACACCCCTTTAGTGCACCCCCTTCACTCGTACATGTCCCGATACATAATCTCCCTTCTCTTACACACTTCCCTGTTTCATACTCCATCTTGTACACCTCCCACACCCCTTTAGTACACCCCTTCACTCGTACATGTCCCGATACCTATTTCTCCCTTTTCTACCCTCCTGTTTCATACTCCCTCTTGCACACATCCCACACCACCCTCGTCACCTCTCGTACACGCCCCTGCTTATACTACTCATACTCTCCCCACTCTTTAACCCCTTCCTCTCCCCCCTCCCCACCTTCCATGTTCCCCTGCTAAGCAAGCACCTGTAGCGCCACAGTGTAAGCCTCCACTTGTGTTGGTGTAGTGACGTATACACACGAATCAATACCGTTGTGTCGGTCCCGCGACTTGTAACAGATTGAAAATCCATTCCTCGGTACAGTGTGTGCCTGACGGTGAACTTGTTAACAGACCTACACCGATATAGGCCTATAGGTAACACGACCCGTTCGGCCTGACACGTACGTGTTGCACGTCACACGCGTGGAACTAACACGCTTTCAAAATTACCGAGCTGCTGAATTACAGTAGCCTCCACGATCCTGTTTGATCTTTGTTATCGTTACTACATATCTTGAGATATTCGAGTAGTGTCTTTATCACTAGTTGATGCTGTTTTCTCGCTGAGGGAAAATAAAGAAAAAATGTAGTCTCCGGGGAGTTTTAGCTTTCCCTCTCTTTCAGATGGCAAGATTAATCTCCCCTTTTTACCTATTTACATTTTGACGAGGTCTGTAGGTCTAGCTGCCGCAGGCTATACCAGTGTGTAATGGTGGGGGTAAGTGGGGAGGGGGGGGGGGGAGACTGCGTTGTATTGAAGTTATAGATCTATGTAATACTTGTTTCTCAGGCCTATGTAAAATGCCAGCGATATTTTTATACATAAAGTCCCATTCCCTTGTGTTGGTATATGTTCAAGCATTACTATTATTTGCTATTGTGTGTTTGGTACTATTTTTACCATACAGTTACTTTATATTTAACTTAGAGGTTTTTAACTTACTACCCACCTTCATGCAAAATAGTACTTATTTGGATAAGAATTCTTCAGTTTTATTTAGTAGTTGCTGTTAATTTATTTTTTAAAGTTGTCCTTACTCCACCCACTATAGACTGGCAACCTTACAATGCCTACAGAGACCTGTGCTTCCCCCCTCTCCCCATGATAGTGTGTAGGGGGAGGATACAACAGGAAGTCCATAGCATCTCTCCCACAAAGGATGCATTGTCCCCCTCACAGTCACCCAGGCTACAGGCTCACATACAAGAGAGATGACACAGGATGTCCACATTAAAACAATTTTCCACTGGGCCAGCTAGATAAATGTTAGCTAACTCTAGTGACATTTTACAGTAGTAGAAAATTATTCCCCCCTGTTCTAGTTTAAATGTCATATATGGGAGGATAAGGACAACAGTAGGAATATCCAATTATTTTAATAGATTTGTCCTGATTAAATTATATAAGGGGGGTCTGAACCTGAATTTATTTATTTATTTTTTTTTTAGCTTTTTGGTGTATCCTTATTAGCACTGTCTGATTATTGAGTGCTGTGGGGTTGGGGGGGGGAGAGAAAAAAGGGAGAGGTTTAGTTTATTGTTAGAAACTAATGGTAACTACTGTATGTACTGTTCTCACTATTCTATTTAAGCAACTAGTAATACAACATTCATTTATAAAAGTTCTTTGTTGAACAGTGTGTAGAAAAACACCCCCTATTAGCTCAGGCATAATGGACAGGCCATAAAAGAAGTTCCCTTCTTTACCTCTTTCTCTTCTCCTCCTCCCCCCCATCCCTCAGAGTGTTGGAAATGTAAATAGAACTTGTGGTGTTGGCCATTGGTCAGAAGTAGCTGAACCATGACCAGATGGCCTCAGGACAATAGCTAGTATTTGCATTCTCTCTCTCTCTCTCTCTCTCTCTTTCTCTCTCTCTGATCTTCACAGATCAGCATGGCCTTTTCTTTCTACTACTGTTATTTGGCATTTATTTATATCTTTTTGTTACTGCAGAAAAGTACTATCAATTAATTTTTTTCTTTGTTATTTTTAATTACCTTCCACTAAATTTCAAATCAGTTGCAAATTATCCGCTTGTTAAATTCATCAACACTATTGATTTTCTGAGCTAGGGAATTAAAACCATTCCATTAAACCATTAGCTTTTTTTTTTGTTAGGCTTATTTTTTTTTATAAAACTAAGAGGTATTTGTTTTCGTTTAATAGTTTACACAAGAACTCTTATTGCTTTTCATCTTATACTAATGGTGGTATTGATTGCTAGGGGAAAAAATCAATAGCTAACTGTGAAATGATGAAGAGTTATCCGAGAATTATTCTGGAACTGCTGGGAAAAACCTTGCGGATTTGTCCTGAGTCATTAAGTTGTTTATAGGGACTGGAATTTTACATGAGTAAGATAAGTTGCTTGTGAGGGGTTGTATGTCCAATGCTTTTAGTAGGCGATGTTATGATATGGAGAATTCATCAGTTACATATTCTTTTCTTGATATGGGTTGGTAAATATTTTTAAAAATATTGAGGGTTTTTTTATATTCTTTTCTATATCATCAAATGTTTTAAGTTGTGTTTTTTATTGTTAGAACAGTTGTAAGATTGTGCATATAAGTAGTGTAGATATCTAGTCTAAGGTGGCTGATTTCCAGTGGTAACTTAGGGTAATTAAAAGTTGCTTTGCATCATATGGCGCCGATAATGTATGCTATTTATAGTTTACCGAACTTGAAAAATCTGTTTCTCTATCTTGCTAAATTATGTACGTTTGGTTAAAGAAATGTTGCTTCTCATTAATTTTTTCATGCCTTCTGTGGGGGCTATTAGCATTCAAAATTTTTTGGATGGCCTGTATAAGGGTTTTTAAGTTTTCTGCTTTCATTTGTATACACTTTTTAAATTTTTGTATACATCAACTAGCCTTGAAGTCATTTTTGTTTTTAATTTAAAAAATAAAAAGTTCCAGAGGTAAAGGCACATGCCTGACGTGTGATTCTACTGCATGCAGTTCCCAGGGACACAGACATGGCACATGTTATTGTTTAACATCCAGCAGGGGAACCTTATTTCCTGCTGTGGCACAAACCTCCCAGAGTTAATATAAACATGTGCTTCCTACCCTACCCCTCTATCATCTTAGTCCTTGTTTTAACCTCAGTAAACTTCAAGAAATAGATTGATTTATATGTCATATCAGTTTGTTTACAGTAAACTTTTTATTGCATTATTGTTTTAAAATGTTATCAACTCAGTATCTGGTACCCGTTTGGTGTAACTTAGTGTTCTGTTTAAGTTCAAAATATTATGAATTTGTTTGTGTAACTTAGTGTTCTGTTTAAGTTCAAAATATTATGAATTTGTTTGTGTAACTTAGTGTTCTGTTTAAGTTCAAAATATTATGAATTAAAAAATTCTCATTATTATTTGTCTCATATTTTAGATATAGCTTAACAATGTTGCTGTATTTGCTTTGATAACTTATTTACTTTCTACATCCTATACAAACATCAACAAATTACTTTATTACTATCTTTGTGTTTTTAAAAATGTGGTAATTACAATGTATATTTTCTTACTGGTACATTTTTCTTTTATCTCCAGATTCAAGTGGCAGTGAGACTCAGTTAACTGAAGAACATGTGATAATTATAGCCTGCGTCTGCGGGGTCATTATTGTTTCTCTTCTCATTGTCTTGTTCTGTTTTATCTTCAGGCGCAGAAGAAACGCAGGTAAGCAAGTTCTATTTTTTTTTCTTAAATAATTGGGTCTATTACTTACTTAGTAAGTTAGCAGTGATATAAATAGCGCTAGAAAATAAATTGATAAAAAAAAATTTAAAGCTTCATTTGTGCTAAAGTTTCAGTATGCATATTAATAGGGAATATAGTACCATGGCTAAATTGGCTATTAACATGAAGGTCTAGATTTATAGTCTGGTGTGTGAAAGTGTTGAGAGCCTGTTGACTAGAATCTTTGTTCTGCTAAAAGCAGGAAAACACATCTGTCATTATATTCCCATGGGAGCTGGCATAGACAATTTACAGTCCCTGTGTTCATGTTCTTTTGGGGAGGGAGGGGGATGGATAGGGGAGAGAATAACAACTCCTCAATGACAGACCTTGAACTGTGTGCAAGAAGATGGGTTTTTGGTAACCTGAGCAAGTTATCCACATCTTCATTACCTACTAGACACAGTGCCTATTCATCAATTTAGGAACAGTATGAGTATAGACATTAACCAGGAGGAAAAAGTTTAAAAACTCCATGTAGATATGTGAATATATTAAAAACCTGGAGAGACTTATTATTTTAACCTCACATCCATACCGATCAAATTTAATCTCTTAACTAAAATTTTTATTTTATTTTTGCCAACGCTGTGTTGAAGTGAAAATGTATTGAAGAAGAAGAGTTGTCTAACATTGTAACTCAGTTTTAAATTATAAATTTGAAAACAGCCTTGTATTTGTTTGATAATTTATGAACTATCAAGATTGTTAAAAGCGTTTATTACTTTATTTTAAGAGCTCAGAGCTGAACTGTAATCTTTTTAAAGCTGGATCTGACACTCTATTTATTGCCTCTCATAGCAAGCAAATTATATTCAAACATTTACTTCCTTTTGTAGTATATTATTTAATTACTCTATGCATATTCATCAATTAAACTTAAACTGGGATTAAAATATGCAAAACATTAAAGACTGAGCTGATATTGTAACAAAAACCCCCACTTCTTTGCCTTCTACTTGTTTAACAGTCCAGGACTGTGTAGAATGTTTAAACCCTGTGCTAAACTGTGAATGTATTGAAGCTTAGACTGACACTGTGGCTGTTGTACATAGGGATCACAGGTGGTAAGGGGAGTAGATAAAGAGGGTGGGAAAGTCTGGTGAAGCATGTGTTGTTATTTAAAGCATCCCTGTGTAGAGGTGGTTGGGTGTTGGGTTACATGGAGCCATGTTCCCAGGGTAGGTTGGCTGGTGATGGGGGATTATCTGGGTAGAGGTGGATGAACAGGGTGGTGTTATATGTGGGTGAACAGGGTGGTGTTGTAGGTGGATAAAAAAGGTGGTGTGGTGTTATAGGTAAATGAACAGGGTGGTGTGGTGTTATAGGTGGATGAACAGGGTGGTGTTATAGGTGGATGAACAGGGTGGTGTGGTGTTATAGATGGATGAAAAAGGTGGTGTGGTGTTATAGATGGGTGAAAAAGGTGGTATGGTGTTATAAGTGGATGAACAGGGTGGTGTTATAGGTGGGTGAACAGGGGTGTTATAGGTGGGTGAACAGGGTGGTGTTATAGGTGGGTGAACAGGGTGGTGTTATAGGTGGGTGAACAGGGTGGTGTTATAGGTGGATGAACAGGGTGGTGTTATAGGTGGATGAACAGGGTGGTGTTATAGGTGGGTGAACAGGGTGGTGTTATAGGTGGGTGAACAGGGGTGTTATAGGTGGGTGAACAGGGTGGTGTTATAGGTGGGTGAACAGGGTGGTGTTATAGGTGGGTGAACAGGGTGGTGTTGTAGGTGGATAAAAAAGGTGGTGTGGTGTTATAGGTAAATGAACAGGGTGGTGTGGTGTTATAGGTGGATGAACAGGGTGGTGTTATAGGTGGATGAACAGGGTGGTGTGGTGTTATAGATGGATGAAAAAGGTGGTGTGGTGTTATAGATGGGTGAAAAAGGTGGTATGGTGTTATAAGTGGATGAACAGGGTGGTGTTATAGGTGGGTGAACAGGGGTGTTATAGGTGGGTGAACAGGGTGTTGTTATAGGTGGGTGAACAGGGTGGTGTGGTGTTACAGGTGGATGAACAGGGTGGTGTTAAAGGTGGGTGAACAGGGTGTTGTTATAGGTGGATGAACAGGGTGGTGTTAAAGGTGGGTGAACAGGGGTGTTATAGGTGGGTGAACAGGGTGTTGTTATAGGTGGGTGAACAGGGGTGTTATAGGTGGGTGAACAGGGTGGTGTTATAGGTGGGTGAACAGGGTGTTGTTATAGGTGGATGAACAGGGTGGTGTTAAAGGTGGGTGAACAGGGGTGTTATAGGTGGGTGAACAGGGTGGTGTTACAGGTGGATGAACAGGGTGGTGTTAAAGGTGGGTGAACAGGGGTGTTATAGGTGGGTGAACAGGGTGGTGTTATAGGTGGGTGAACAGGGTGTTGTTATAGGTGGGTGAACAGGGGTGTTATAGGTGGGTGAACAGGGTGGTGTTAAAGGTGGGTGAACAGGGGTGTTATAGGTGGGTGAACAGGGTGGTGTTATAGGTGGGTGAACAGGGTGTTGTTATAGGTGGGTGAACAGGGGTGTTATAGGTGGGTGAACAGGGTGGTGTTATAGGTGGGTGAACAGGGTGGTGTTATAGGTGGGTGAACAGGGTGGTGTTATAGGTGGGTGAACAGGGTGGTGTTGTAGGTGGATAAAAAAGGTGGTGTGGTGTTATAGGTAAATGAACAGGGTGGTGTGGTGTTATAGGTGGATGAACAGGGTGGTGTTATTGGTGGATGAACAGGGTGGTGTGGTGTTATAGATGGATGAAAAAGGTGGTGTGGTGTTATAGATGGGTGAAAAAGGTGGTATGGTGTTATAAGTGGATGAACAGGGTGGTGTTATAGGTGGGTGAACAGGGGTGTTATAGGTGGGTGAACAGGGTGTTGTTATAGGTGGGTGAACAGGGTGGTGTGGTGTTACAGGTGGATGAACAGGGTGGTGTTAAAGGTGGATAAAAAAGGTGGTGTGGTGTTATAGGTGGATGAACAGGGTGGTCTTTTAGGTTGATGAAAAAGGTGGTGTTATAGATGGGTTAAAAAGGTGGTGTGGTGTTATAGATGGATGAACAAGGTGGTGTTATAGGTGGGTGAAAAAGGTGGTGTGGTGTTATAGATGGATCAAAAAGATGGTGTGGTTTCATAGGTGGGTGAAATGGGTGATACAGTTTTGTTTGTTAGTGAAAAGGGTGTGGTTGTTTCTATAGATGAATGAAATTATTAAGGTTGCTTTATAGATAGAGAGGAATAAGATGGTGTTTTATAAATAAATAAGAGTACATGATTCAAAATAAAATTCAGAACAATTATATATTCATATAATTATAAAATTTGAATAATAGACGAGCATTGTTTGATATAAAGCTGTAGGCATTCATTCAGGCTGAATTTTTGTCTAGTTCAATTGAGGTTGAAAAAAACATTTTTAACAAATGTTTATAAAAAGTTAAGTTATTTCAAATACTAATTACAATTTGGAGGCTGAAATGTCAATCAATTTTTAAATACAGAATTAAAATATTAAATAATTTCAATAATGGCAATAATGTTTTTTTTCTTTACAGCCAAAACATACCAAGGGGGAAATCAAGGGTAAGAATATCTTGTATTTTAATTTTTGTACAAAGACTTTCTCAAAAGATTCAATAAATCAGCATGATTATGAACTACAAAATGCAAATAAACTTAATATTATCAAGCCACATTACAGATACTTGTTTAGCATGATTGTATACATAATTCCAGTAGTAATAAGTGTTTTCTATTTGCTGCTGTGTAGGGAGCCCCCACCATACAATGCAGTGCCACCCAACAAGAAGCCCCACGTTTATGATAACCAAGGTATGGACACAACTGATCTGCAGTTGACGGAACAGAGTGTTGAGCCTTCAGCACCTCCCTCTCCTCCAGTGCATGCAATACCCAACAGTTTTACTAACAATAGTTGTGAGTAGTCACTGTTAGAGCCACTTCCACATCAGTTTGACATCAGGGGGGGAGGGTTTACACATCATAGGTCACTGTTAGACCACGCCCACATCAGTTTGACATCAGGGGGTAGGGAGGGGTTACACATCATAGGTCACTGTTAGACCACGCCCACATCAGTTTGACATCAAGGGAGTGGGGAGAGACACATCATATGCTAATGTCAGAGCCACTTTCACATCAGTTTAACATCAGGGGGTAGGGAGGGGGAAGAGACACATCATATGCTAATGTCAGTCTACCCCTACTTCACTTTGAGATCAGGTGGAGGTGGGACACACATTTACCACTGTTAGACCCACACCTACTTCAGTTAAAATCAGGGGGGGGGGGATACACATCATATTCCACTGTCAGACCACACCCAATTTAGTTTGACATCAGGGGGCGGGGGGTAATGCATATCATAGGTCACTGTCAGGCCACATCCACTTCTACTTGGTTTGACATCAGGGGAGTGGGGGGGAGATACACATGCTGTCAGACCAAGCCTACTTCAGTTTGACATCAGGGGGAGGGGAAACATGCTACTTTTAGACCCCACGCCCTTTTTAGTTTGACATCAGAGGTGGGGGTGGATACATATGTCACTGTCAGACCACTTCCACTTAGTTTGACATCAGGGGGAGTGTGGGGGAAACACATCATATGCCAGTTAGACCCACACTTTAGTTGGACATCGGGGGGGGGGGGGGGGATAACACATCAAATGCCACTGTTAGACCACGCCCACTTCAGTTAAACATGAGGGGGGAAGGGATACACATCATATTTATAGAACATCCACATGCATCAAATGTCTGTGTAGGAGCCTTGTTTGATTCTAGTCAATAGATATATTGAGGAAAACAAACAGTGCTCCAACAGTAGCTAACAAAAAATTTTTGTCATTGGTTTGGGTTCATTTCTATTTATATTAGTCCCCCTCTTCTGGGTGTGAGGGTAAAAAAGCAATTTAAACTGGTCAGACTAACTATTGTTGATTGGTTTCAATATTTGTTTTTTTGTTGTAAATTCATCTAACTCATTTTGGTTGGCTGGTGAATTATTGATAACCGCATGTGTTGCCAGTTTGTGTGGGTGTTGAGTTGTTGATAACCGCATGTGTTTCCAGTTTGTGTGGGTGTTGAGTTGTTGATAACCGCATGAGTTGCCAGTTTGTCCTGCATGTTCTTGGTGTTTTTAATCTACTATCATATCTTGTCTCTAGCACTCTTACACTACACTTCTTCAAGCTAATTCAACATTTATTTTAGGTTTTTATTTTTAAGCCTTCACAAGAAGCAGTTTAGTTTACAGATACTAAAATGAAATTGAAGACTCATGTAGTTAATAATAACTTGGTGAATAAGTCTACTAAGCAGGCAGCGCTTGCTGTTATGTTTCTTCTTGTGGTAGATACACTGTATCTCTTATGCACAGTGAATTATGATATCTGATAAGAATTTTGAAGAGAGCATTCTGGCGCCATGGAGTCAAATTTTTATCTTCACCTGCTTTTTCTGTTGGATGTAAAAATAGTTGGGTTAGAACATGGGGCTTTTTTTTTCTGTACCTATTTGATTGAAACTACAGCTCATTATTTGAGTACTTGTAGTTGTTGTAGAGCTTTCAAAGTAGACTTTGTAATGGCCTTTTTTTTTAAAATTATTATTGAAAGAAAGTTCTAGTGCTTAGTTGTTTAATTTACATGTGTGCTGCACATAGGAAGGAACTTGATCAGATGGAAGAATTATGATTTGAGTTTTGATGCTGGACTGACTTTTTTATGGAGATTTACTGGAAAAAATTAACAAATTCTGTTACACACATCAATGATAGTTATGGTCAGATGATTCTACCACTATCCTTGCTCCCCCATATGTTTTAGTGGATCATAGCTAAACCACAAACCTTGCCTCCTGCCATCCGTTTTTAGTTAAGTTGAGGCAGGTGGATCATAGTCCTACCACAAACCTTGCTTCCCACCATCTGTTTTATTTAAGGTGAACATGGATCATAGTCCTACCACAAACCTTGCTTCCCACCATCCGTTTTAGTTAAGGTGAACATGGATCATAGTCCTACCACAAACCTTGCTTCCCACCATCCGTTTTAGTTAAGGTGAAACCGTGGATCATAGTCCTACCACAATCCTTGCTTCCCACCATCCGTTTTAGTTAAGGTGAAACCGTGGATCATAGTCCTACCACAATCCTTACTTCCCACATACAGATGGACCCTTGGATCTGCCGGCCAACACCTACAGAGACTATTTACCTGCGGACCGCAGCTACTCCCCCACCCCCTCCAGGGAAGTGGTCATACATGCTCGTCCATTCACTGCCTCGTCACTTGACAAAAGGCTGTATGAAAATAAACTAAATCATTGGACTGACAGTATGTAATTGTTCAGCTACCCAGCTTTGTTTGGCTTGTTTAGCCTTTTTATTTTTTTCTATTTGATCTCTCACACAAGTTATCAGTCACATGTGTGAGGTGAATGTCGCCTCATCAACTCTTTACCGCCTGCGTAGTCTTGCTTGGTCACTGCATTATATTTACTTAACATTTTTCCTGACACTAAATAAAAGCCATCTATTAGTTTAGAATTTAACTTCACTTTTTATTAAACTTACCAACATACACAAGCACATGTAACAATAACATATAAAAAAACAAAGTAGTTTGGATACATCACTTGCATGGTATACTCATAAAACCAATACTTCTTTTTTGGCTATGGGAAAAGCTTTGTTGGTTGTTTTTTTTGTTATAAAAAGCTTTTGTTTTATTTAATTTTGTTGTGTATTTTGTATAATGGCATGTTGACATTAATTGTAGTTTGAGGAGCAGAATAGTCTTGGTTTCGTTCTTTTTGTTTTGTATTTTTTCTAACCAGTTCTAGTGGCATGCCTATACTAAATTGTAGTTTGACTTCACTGTGCATTTTGAAGTTGTATTAACTGTATAGTATGCTTGCTAACTCTTTCATACAATTTTTGCATGCATCCTAATTATTTAACAAATGCTATTGATTTTTACAATCATTAGTAAAAATAACTATTTAGTATGATAGAACATTTATTGAAAAAAAGAATTTTAATTATTTTATTAGAAATCTTAAAGTTGTACCTTAAACATCTGTGTGTAAGTCATATCTAGAATATGTGTCCCTAGCTGTGTAGCCTTAGTTGTACAGTTGCTTCATCTACATATCATATGTATACCACTGTATAACTAAATGCTTGATTCAGTGCATTTTTTTTTACCTACAGATAATAAAATGGATGGCTACCAACAGAATAGAGGTAAGCTGCTTTAACCTCTTTTGCTAAAAAAATTAAAAAATTTTCTAGTTTTAAACCTAAACTCCTTTTGCAAAACCTGCTGTAACTTATATTTATTTTCCAGAAATCTTTTGTTTTCTTAATTAATTAAACTTATCTTAAAATTTTTAATTTTTTTTACTGTTAAAAGATTAATTTGAAGTACACATTATTAATCAACCTACAAGAATAACTTTTTTTTAAAGTTGATGTAACAGGTTTTGAGAATATGTTGGACTTTTTTTTAAACTTATCTATTAAAGATATACCTACTAAAACCATTTCGAGAGATATTTTGTTTGAAATGTATAGGGTTTTTTTTTTATGTGCATTTCAGCTTCATTAAATGATTTTCATTTTAGATGGTCAAGGGAGCATACCCAGAAGCCCAACAAAAGATAAATATATAGACCTTCAAGACAGGGGTGGCGGCGGTGACCCTATGATGGGAGGGCCAGATGGCGGCTACAATCACGATCCCATGTCAGGAGTGGGCAACAAGCCTAAAAAGGTTATATATGAAGTGGTTGTCTGATTGTTGTCTAGAGCTCCTGTCAACACTGTCGTTGTTCTCTTCCAGTGTACAATGTGAGATTCACTGGTGTCGTTGATAACTCAGCCAGCTTGTCACAAACAATAGCGTGGAGAAAAAAAAATTGCAGCTTTGTCTGATAGACCAGATTTTTCTCAAATCTTTAACTACAATAATGGCCAGTTTGGAGTGGAAATTTTTTTTAAGTAAAAAAAAAACTACCTAACGATGCTTTGCTTTCAGTTTTTTTCTGAAATCAATGTATTTTTTTTTTGTGAATATTAATTCTAAACTGTTCTTTATATGTATATGTAAATAATTTTTATAATTATAGTTCTGGAGGCTTTTTAATTGAAAGTTAAATATACTTGACCTATGCATGTGTTTAGCATTAGTGTTCATAATTGTGTATAAAGTTTTATATATTTGTATTTTTGGACCAATATTGTTCAACCTAGAATATATGTTGAATCTCAGTACCACAATCTGGCCTAAATTTTTAGGGATAATTTAAGAGCTAGGAATAAAAATATGTTGTATTAGCAATTAGACCTTGAGAAATATATCTGGGTGGATTATTTACTTAATGAACCACTGGTTCAAATTGTTAACTTTATTTGTACTACTTGAGCTGTTTATTTAGACTCAATTATATCCAAGATAGTAGTCTTTCAAGCCGAAAGAATGATTATATATTATAATGGCAATAAAGTTTAAATATTTTGAACCCTGTTTGACACAAGTGAATAAGCCACCCTAATAGCTTTAGTGACTAAATCTATGTATGTAATCTATCTCTGTTGGCACCTGCACATTTCTGCCTACAACAAACTGCTGCTATTGTTCTATATTTTATTTTTGTAAGTTAAGACATTCATGTATTTTCTTCTTTAAAAAAAGCAATTGTTTCAATGTTGCCCATCTTATTTTAACATGGACAATTTTTACAGTTTTTCTTTTTTTAAAATCTGGCATGCCTTAACACTGGTTCGCTCATCCATGACCAGTTATATTTACACCAGACATGCATGACCGTCCGCAATCTAGCTCTGATAAAACCAGCTCTGCTTAATGAGCTGTCGTAAAAATATTTTTTCAAAAGTTCATTACAAAAAATGTGGGGTCACTAACAGATGTGGAAGTATGGTTAATACCAATGTCTGACAATAGACTCCTCCAGAAGTTTGAGGTTGTTCATAGTATTGTAATCTCAGGTTTAGGGTTGGGTTAAAAAAAATTAGGGTTAGGGCTTTTGTTGGATTTGGGTTCGGAATAATGTTTGCTTTGACATCTGGAAGCAATATTTTAATTGAGTTCACTACCAGTAATATAACACCACTTTTTTTAAAAGATCCCATATTGTGGCTTTATCAGGCACTGGTATATTACATACACCCACATGTGCATTAGTTTTTAAGTTTTTTTATAATGTCAAGGCTACAAGCCATCATGGTAATAGGTGTGCACAACTATGCAGGTTACTTTTATTTTAAAAAAAAAGATAATTCTATAATTGCCTTAACATGACATGATTCAAGGATGGATGAGTATTGTTAGCGTTAGCAATATTTAACTACATGACTGAGCTGCTGGAAGTTATTAAATGTACAATCCTTGAACATTGGAATGATCTGAAAAGTTTGAACATTGGAATGGCAGAAAAGTTAAAATAGTGGATGTTTGAATTATCTGAAAAGTTGAAATAGTGGATGTTTGAATTATCTGAAAAGTTGAAATAGTGGATGTTTGAATTATCTGAAAAGTTGAAATAGTAGATGTTTGAATTATCTGAAAAGTTGAAATAGTGGATGTTATGAATGCTCTGGGAAGTGTCAGTTTAAAATTTTGATTAAATGATTTTTTGTCAGTGTCCAATGTTTTTTGCAAACATTATATGCATTGTTTTTTTTTTATAATGTGAGTCTCCAATGTCAGGTTTATGTTTTAGACCGATTGATTTTAGATTTTTTAGGGTAAATTTACTTAAAGATAATATTTTTGTGCATTAATTAAAATTTTGAAAAGTAAAAACAACTGACAAATTAGATGTGTAAATAGTTTGAAGCTGTGAACAAGCAACTTGTGTGTTTATTTGAACACCAATTCTGAATGAAAGAAAAAAGATGTGTATATATCTGTGTAAATAACCATTGTCATTTCTCTCATGTACTATGGATGTGATGAAAACAGGCTGCTGACATAGAAGTGTTGACTGGTTTTTGTATCCTAGAAATTCTATAACTTTATACAGATTCTTACTTTAAAGTTACGAGAAAAAAAAATATAAATATACTATCAGATTATCTGTTTTTGCTATGGTTCTTTAAGAGCTAAACAGATTTTTAATAGTATTACGTAGATCTTATTGTAAAAGTATATAGAAAAGCTGGTGGAATTTATACCTTAGGTAACTTTTGAAATGAGGATAATTTTGTAAGTCAACATTTCACTTGAATCACTGCCTTGTGTTGACAGTATTATAATCATTGTTGATCTGATGGTTAGTGTTCTGGTAATTTGTTTTTTGGTTCATTCTTAACAATTTTTTAAAACTTTTGTTTGATTGAATGGAAACATTTTTTTTTTCATTGATTGATACATGCAAATCTGACTAAAATAAATAACAATATTTTTTTCATATTTGGTTTGTTTTTTATACATCTGTTTAACTAGCTATAGTACAGCACCACAATGCCAACATTAGGCCCTGTGATATTTTAGCATTACTAGTCTCCTTCATTGAGTTACAAAGAAGTATTTGGTAATGGGAGTAATTATCCTGCAACTGTACTTCAAAAATTCTACTTTTTTTTTATTACAAGTCACTTCATCTATTTAAGTCAAAAATTTAGAAGTTAAAATGGAAATAATTAATATCAAGATAATGTGAAGTTACATTGACTATGCAAAAGCTGCAGTTTATGTGAAATTTAAACAGCATCTGAAGAAACATTTGGATAAAGCCATTGCTTATAGTAACAGAGTGTTAGTCTTCTTAGGAAACATTACTATACTGAAATTGTATGAGCATTATGAAATCCAAGCTATTCTATCAAGCATAACGACACAGACTTTTACAGATTGGTGGTGCACAAGGTGAGTCCAGGTACTATTCCACCAGGTGTGCTCGATAAGGTAGTGTGTCCCCCTCTGTTTGATGTGGTGTTCAATTCATTGTTCTCATCTTTGGTGTGGTGTTCAACTATGCCCACATAGGCTTCTCTTTGATGTTCTATGCCCTCATAGGCTTCTTCTTTGATGTTCTATGCCCTCATAGGCTTCCTCTTTGATGTTCCATGTCCTGCACAACATGCCTCAGTGTAACTGTAACAGAAAAAGCAAGTAATGTTTCTTTTTAATTATCTTCAAACATTTAATAAAAGCTTATTAGGTACTATGTATTGATTCTATTTTCTAAAGAATACAAAATCTGTGGTCAGATCTGGCGTTAAAAAAAAAAAAAATAAATTAGACCTTTCAAAGCTGTACATAATAAATTGAAATAATCATTTAAGGATTAGATTTTTTTTTAATTAAAAGTTTTGCGTCCAAATTAAAATAACTCGCTTTATATAAATAAAAACTTCGCAATCACAGCTGTAGATAATAAATTTAAATAATCATTTAAATTTAAGGATTTGATTTTTTAAATTTAAAAGATTCACGTCCAAATTAAAATAACTCGCTTTATATAAATAAAAACTTCACAATCACAAGTAATCTTCTTTTATATTTCAAAGTTGTTTTTTTTTTTATTTTAAAGAAGTTGAAAATAGATCACTGTTTGCAAAACAAATCGAATCATGAAGTCAAATTTAATTTCAGCAGCAGAAATTCAAATGGCGCTGGCAGTGGAAAAAGAAAGAAGACCGACCCCCAGCCCCGCCCCAGTTCTCACACAGTCCACCTGGACACACCTGCAGTCTGCCCTGCTGCAACCAGGAGCACGAGGCCCATCAGGCAGCCAAGCCAGCGCCACAGAGAGGCTGCGTCCCAGTACCCCTAGCTGCGCCATCGGAATGTCTGGACAGCAACTTCTTTATGATGAGAAAAATGGATACCTCATCGCTGTATAAGAAAAACGTACTTTTCCATAAAAAAGATGAAGATGGTTGGGAGTCTATGTCTAGTAATGGTGAAGACAGTGAAGGGAGACAACTACTTCGATTTAAGAAAAACCTTGGAGTTATTGCTCCTAAGCCCATTACTCCTGCTAAAAAGTTTGGTTTCAAAAAGGAAGTTACTGAGTCTCCACCATCTCTACGGCTTCGAAAGCAGTTAGCGCCTTGGGAACAGATCAGGAAGAGGCAGATAACTCTGCCGGATTCAAAGACTCCTCACAGAATGATGTTCCTTAACTACCAGCCGGGAGAAACCTCCGACTTCACTGAGCAGGATCAAAACGCAAACATTCCTTCATACACTAATGCTCTCCCTTCAGCTGAAGCTATTGTAAAAAACAGCAGTTTTTACAACACAACTGCTGCCGAGGAGAAGAATTCCGAGAACTCTGTTTCGCCCAGCGAAGACTACTTCAAGAAACGTATGGTGAACTCTGAACTTCCTCCTGTGCCTTTCACTGAAGAAAAAAACACCGATTTGCTTGAAACGGATAAACACTTTATAAAAGACGATGACACAGATAGCCTTATTGATAGCATTTCCATAATGGACGATCATGTTTATGACGTACCGAGCGAGCTTAGCTTGGAGCTGGATAAACACTCCCAAAACACAAAGAGCTCAGCTCCCACCTTAAGCTCCCTGTCTGACTACACCAGTTCTGATATTGAAAGTTCCATGTACCAGGCATCTGGGAGTGACAACTGCACTGAAAGTTACGTGTACAGTGGGTCCCTTGTAAGTCAGGACTCTGACGACACGACGTCAACCATCTACTACCCCAGCACGTCGAAAAATCAAAGCACTTTTAAAAAATCGAGGTCCTCGCCTTTGCTGACACAGAAATTGAACCCAGTTAACAGGTATTTAAACAAAAGAGAAAAATTCATTTCACATTCAGACTCCGACACCACAGGTGAGAGTTCCAGCGTTTCGGGCAGTTTCGCTGTTAAAAACAGACCCACGCGCAAAACAAAAACAAGGGTGTCCCAACACAAGAAGGTCAAGACGTACCTTGACCTTGCTAGTCCTAATCCACCTGGGCTCAACTTAGAGGAAAGCGTCAAGCTGAAGCTTTGGGACTTACGGCTTGTGACGCTTAACCGAGAACAGAATCACTACTCAACATTTCCGTTTAGGAAACCAGCCCTGGATGATTACATGATTGGTCAGTTCAGCCGCTGTCCAGAATTCGGTTATAGACATAGACATAACAGTGATATAAGCACCGATAATTATGTTATGCATAAAATCCAGCGTATTCTTCGTGCACCAGTTATTACGAAATATTTAAACAGCTCTGGTACGGAGAGTTGCAACCAATCAGACAGCATCGATGAAAATGCGTTTAAAAATGATTCACTAAGAAGTGAGTTAACAAGAGTGAACTCTTTGAAAGACTGGGAGCATTTTTTTAATAAGATTGGACAGTCTGAGAGTAACAGTGTAGACAAGTTCTGTCCAGAGCTTGGCTCACTCCAACCCTTTTCTGAGTGGCCGAAGTTTGAAGACGAGGATTCAATTTACGAACCAATCACACTGTCGGGAATTTTTAACATGGAGAAAAAAAATACCGATGAAGGGAGTGATGAAAGTGATAAATCAGATGATTCTAGACTATGCAGGTATTTAGGGATGGATCAGGAAGGGACTAGTAGCCATAGCGGGAGTGTCTACAGTGGCAACATGCATGCAAGCAGCGCCAGTGTGCTTAGCGACGCCAGTGATGTCCAAGACAGGCGCGACTCTGGTGATGATGGTGCTGACAGACCACGTTTGGAGATCAACCACGGAGCCATCATCAACTGGAGAAGGCAGGCTGAGCTATTTAAAGACAAAAACTTCATTACTCTGATATTATGAGAATGCCTGCTTCTAGTGATTTCGTTGTTTTTATTCCAGATCGATTATTGAAACATAATCCAATGCTCAGAAAATTATTATAGAATATTATTTATATTTTGACTTCAAATGGTATGTTAAATGGATAATGTTTGTAGGTCTAATTTATCTACCACATTATATTTGTATTCAGCATTTATATATATTCAACATTTCGCTTCCCTAGAACTGGACTGTTCTAACTCCATTTGCGAGATATATACACCATTGTGTTCTAAATCCACCAAGGCAAAAAAATTCATGGCAAATCACTCACCATTATTACCCAACACTTTAAAATCACCAGCTGCTTAATGTAGAAATGTTAAAGAAAATAAAAGTGTAAAGACATGTTGTGAACATTTTTGAAAAGTGGAGTATTAACAGTCTGGTTTTATAGAAGCAATTTATAAATATATATTCAACATTTAGTTATATAATGTCTGACACATTTCTAAGTTATATTTAGTAGGCTATTAGTTAAAACAATCACCATAAGTTGCACATTATGTATAACTCATTGTACCAATAGCATATACTTTGGTAGATGTTAGTATTTAACAATAATACATTTTTTCTTCTTTTTTAAACAAAAATAGTTTGTACAATAGGTTTTTAAAACAGTTGTCTTCTTTTTGAGTAATTAATCTGCACAATTATTTGTGGTGATTAGATCTATTGTCTAGATTTGCTTTCTATAATAAGATATCCTGATAACATTAAATTAAATCAATACAACTATATAAGTTAAGCAACAAGTTTTCAGTATTCTGAGTATTACTAATATTACATTAGCCTTTCCCTTTAGGGCATATAAATATTAATTAAACAAAACACTAAAAAGCTTTAACATTATTAAACAGAAGGACTTTGTGCTGATTTGACACAATTACATTAAATGAGATTAAAAATTGTATTATCATAATCAGCTCACTGTAGTTATGTTTCTTTGCACTGAATGTTATTACAATGTTACCATCACACATTATGTTCACAAGTGTGCCTGAACAAGTGGAGCCTTTTGCTTATACAGTTTCAACCATTAAAAAAAAATTCCATTTTATTAGCTATTTATAATTAAAAAAAAAAATAAAGATTGCACAAATTATACTATAATTCAAAAACATGTTTGTGTAATAAATTACAATGTTTCAGATAAAAAATGTTCTTTGTGCCTGTTGTTTTTATATTATAGTTATAATACTTATACTAATGTTGTGTCATGTATTGTCAAGTCTGTCATGTGAATAACTAATCACTTCATAACAATATTAGTGTGGGTTAAACCAGATTTTTTTTTTACTACAGTCAGCTAAAACTTACAGTAAAGACCACAACAATCTACACTTACTAATAGTAATTAGTGGTTAACTATAACCATCATACACTTTAGCACATGGTGGATTCTTAATTTATTAACCACATATGGGTCATCCATAAATGACCTCACGCTTTTAAAACGATTTTTACTTCCCCCTTCCATCCGTCTCACATTGTCACAAAAAGCCAACCCCCCCCCACACACACACACAAACACACACAGGCACACCAAAATGACGTAACACGTCAGCCTATACTCCCCCCCTCCTCAAAATTGCAGTTGAATTTTTCTTAAAATACGGTATTTTTCCAAAATCAGTTGCTTTGACAATTTATTAAAACAGTTTTCTAAAACACGTAATAACGGCTAAAATTCATTTTCTAAAATTTCTTTTTTATAATGCAAAAGTGTGACGTCACGCCATCTGAACCCCCCCCCCCCCGCCTCTCACCCGCCCTTCATCACACACCGTCACAAAGTTACGGACTCCCTCTCCCCCCTGCGAGCGCAGTGTTTCTTCCAGACTTTTTTCTCCGGGGGGGGGGGGGGGGGGGGGACTTGAAATTTGGGGGGGGGGGGGGTAGACTTTCTTCGGGGTGGGGGGGGGGGGGCGGGCACTGTTAAAAGTATATATTTTCTATATAAATTTCATTTCGTTCAGGGGGGGGGAGGGGCAGTAGACTTTCTTCGGGAGGGCTCTGCCCCCCCCCCCCCCCCCCCCGAAGAGATGCCTGTAAGAAACTCTGTACGAGTGTGACGTCATTTATATTAATTAGGCGGTGTCTGAGGGTAGATCACTTTCTTAAATATTAGCTGAGCTCTGTCAAAATAGGGTTTGTTTGTCGATTTCTGTTACATTACAATTTACAAACTTTGATCGGTCTGTAGCTGAACAGCCTTCTAATAGCTATTCGTAGTGAATTATGAATAGCCGCAGCCTTTCTAAAAAGCGAAAAAAAAAATGGCTAAAATTGAGCTTCTAACATTTATTTTTAAATGCAAAATTGTGACAACACAATATCTGTCCAACCCCTCCCCCCATCACACAATACAACCCCATCCACCTAGGATCAGTAGCGTAGCGGGGGGGGGGGGACATATGTCCCCGGGCGCCGACCTTAGGGGGCGCCAAAATGGGTTGGAAAAATAAATTGAAAGGTTGAGGGGGTGCAAATCGAAAGTTTGAGGGGGGGGGGGGGTGCTAATCGAAAGTTTGGGGAAGGGGTGCAAATCGAAATTTTGAGGGGGGGGGTGCAAATGGAAGTCTCGAGGGGGGTTGCAAATCGAAAAGTTTGTCCCCGGGCGCCGGGAAGGGTCGCCACGCCTCTGCCTAGGATTGTGACGTATTTCAGGACGAGCCACTATCCATAAACTAATGTTATCTTCTTGTATGTTTCCCAACCCTCCCCCCCCCCTAAGATGATGTTTGGTTTATATATCTAACATGTTCCGTGTACCCAATAACCACAACTTACAAATATTTGAAGCATAATTTTCTCCGTTGTTAATTACTATTTTTATTTTATTATTAAGTGATTATCCATAAACGTCACGCATTTTAAAATAATTTTACCAGCCCTCGTCATCACATAGAGTCAGCCACCTAAACAAAAATAACGTCACACTTTAGCCCACAACACTATTTTTTTAAAATGAGTAGGCCCCTATATTGATCGATTTTACGATTTTAATTACAGTTTTAAAAAAAAAGCGTAATAGCGTTAAAGCAGTAGCGTAGCCAAGATCGTCACATGCGGGAGGGGGGGGGGGGGGTCAAATTTTTTCCAGCAGTATATAACCCGGGGACAAACTTTCAATTAGCACCCCCCTCAAACTTTCGATTAGCACCCCCCCCCCTCAAACTTTCGATGTGCACCCGCCTCAAACTTTCGATTTACACCACCCCCCATAAACTTTATATATATACCGAGGGGTCTATGGGGGTTATGACCCCCCCTAACTACGCCACTGCGTTAAATACTAGGTTTTTAGCGTTACTATTTTAAAAGTCACAAAAGTCCTATTATCCCCCCCCCCCCCCCCCATCCCATGGATGCGACGTTTAAGGACCAGAGGCGTAGCGACCCTTCCCGGCGCCCGGGGACAAACTTTTCGATTTGCACCCCCCTCAAGATTTCGATTTGCACCCCCCCCCCCCAAACTTTTGATTTGATTTGCACCCCCTCCCTCAAGATTTCGATTTGCACCCCCCCCCCCCCAAACTTTTGATTTGCACCCCCTCCCTCAAGATTTCGATTTACACCCCCCTCTCAAACTTTCGATTTGCACCCCCGTCAACCTTTCAATTTATTTTTTCAACCCATTTTGGCGCCCCCTAAGTTCGGCGCCCGGGGACATATGCCCCCCCCCCCCCCCTCGCTACGCTACTGTTAAGGACAGAGGTAATAGAACACTTTATAAATTTATTTTGTCTTTATTAAAATAGAAAAGCATTAAACGTTATAGCACACATTTAAAAAGCATGGCTACAGCTGAGAAAACAATTGTCAAGCTTTCAGTATATATCTAAAAGCTATTTTGATTTTTTGAGTTATTGGTTTTGACAACAACCAAGGTTGGTTCACTCATACACTAGATGGGCCTATACACTTCATTAGAGATGGTAAGAGTTCACCTGATGTGGGAATTTGATGGGTATTTTCCCAGAATTGAATCAACAAGATAAGAGGTGGGTGCGTATTTTGTAAAGTATTGACACAAAATGAAAATAGGCCTAGATCTAGATCTACTTGAAAATAGGATTTGAACTTCGATTTTTTTTGGTTTTACTAGATCTATCTAATTTTTTCTTTAAATAAAAAAAGACATTTTAGTAGAAGAAGTATAAAATAAAACTATAACTATAATTACTTTAATGAACTAATCAGTTAAATCTATAGTTTTAATAGTTTAATAATAATAATATGGATAAACAACAAGGTTTGTACGTGACAGCGATTCATGGTCTTATCATTGGGCCGGTTGTTAGGTTGCTCTTTAATAAATTTCCTGGGAAAATCCTTTTCTGGTAAATCTAAAAATAGAGGGAATCCGTACGTGTCTGCTGTTGTTAGTTTGTTATTGTTAGCAAACTGTAATATTTAAGTTGCTGCAAGGTAAAAATCACTGGTTAATTATTTTTTTTTAATTTTAAAACTCAAAAGGGATGATTATAGATCTAGATACTATAACTACTAGTTTAAACTAGTTATTAACTAGATCTAGATCTAGAATCTAGAAATCTAGATCTATTAGATTTAGATACCGGTGTCCGATAATAATATTTTAATACTAGATCTAGATCTAAATATCCTCCATCCATAAATAAAATTAAAATGGTGATTAGTGATTATTTATTTATTATATGTATTAGATCTAGATCTATATGATGGTGTGTTGGGTTGTAGATCTAGATCTAGATCTAGTAGTACTAAGTACTAAGTAAAGTACTAAGTAGTAGATCTAGATCTGAGATCTAGATCCAAATCAGTAGATCTAGACTAGTAGAATCTAGTAGTAAGTATTGTAATCTCCACTAATTAATTATTCTCCCCTTAGGCCTTAGAGTCGCCTTAGAGAGTCCTTAGACCTTTACAGTTTACTTTAGGGTAAAACTCCATTTTAGCACTACAGTCGGTACCTACTTGACTACACTACTTGTTGATTCTAGAATCTAAGTTAGATATAAATCTAGACTCTCTTCTGAATTAGATCTATTCTATTAGTTAGATCAAGATCTATATTTTAATGAAATGTTACACTTGTTTGAGAAAAATATTTTATAAAATAAAAAATAGTTTTGGTCAAAACACAATGAGTGAATCAATACGTTCTTTAGTCTTTACTACTCTACACGTCGAACGATATCAGATCAGTGGAGTGGCAAAGCAAAGAAATAATTAAATTTAAATATCTAAAAGGCCGATTCTAGCAGGAAAAAGACATGCATGCACAATGGAGAATGAAGAGAAACTACGACTTGCCTTCACTGCGATGTTTTCGATGGTACTGCGCATGCGTGTGTTTACAACAGCAGAACACTAATCCTAATCATATCCCTAACCCTAGCCATAACCCTAGCCCTAACGCCTAACCCTAGCCCTAGCTCAGCTATTAAGGTCACTGCGCATGCGTAGAACTATCTTTTGCCGACCAAGCGAAGACGCTGGGACGAAAAATCTTTTTCCGAGTAGTCACTTCGTATCTAAAAATCTAATGCATTTAAAATAACATAAACTACCAATACCTAGAAAAACCAAATTATTAATTATGTACATTATTTGTGTACATTATTTATGTACAATATTTTTTTATTAGTCAACACAACATCATATTAATTTAATATTATTAAATGCCCATGCTGATTAAGAGACTTAAATGATTCCATTAAAAACCCGGCTGTTCAATGGTATTTATGTTGTTTTTTTTAAATAAATTGTATTATTTTAAGCCGAGAAAATTTTATACATTTCAGAGCGTCGCCTTGATAAGTACATCTATAGATCTAAATCAAATTTGTATGAAATAGTTCATTTCTTTATATTTCTAAAATTGGAAGATGACGCCATTAGTTTTGTGTACTTTCCGAAGTTGAAACATGTGGCTTGTGACGTCACTGTTTATTGCGTTTTTTGTCATGACAATGAACATTTTCCAGGCTGCATAGCTAGAAATGTGTTTCTACATTCAAATATGCCTTTATTTTTATTTTCCTTCTTTAAATCAAATTTAGTTTATACATTTAAAACATCTACCATATTATTTTCAACAAAAGTCTGTATCTTTAAGTTCTCCATATATCGCTGAATATACTGATCACATGGCCTAAAAAATGTTGTGGACAGAGAGAGAGAGAAGTGCACACATGGGCTTTTATATATTAGGATAGACTACTAATAGGCATAGGGCGTCATAGGCCATAATCATTTTTAATAAAGAAGCACACAAAATTTGAATAACTTATTAATAATTTAGATCTAGATTCTAGATCTATAACTTAGAGTTGATAGTATTAAGTAGGCATATAAGTTTATATCTTTAACTATTTTTAACTCTGGTTAAGCTAACTCCTACTTGAATAACAATATAATATTATATTAGACATTTTAGTTATTGTCAATAACTAATGAAATGTCTTATAATATCTAGATAGATATCTAGATCTAGATTCTATCTACTAAGAATACTATCTAAAATAAATTTAAATACTACTTAGGCCTACTACTACTACAATACTATTACATTACAGACTATTACTAGAGTTAGATTACCCTTGCCCTTAGTAATTGTATCCCTAAAGTAAAGTTTCCCTTTATAAACCTGACGGTCTATAGGGCAAGTGAAGTATAGTTCACTTGGTTCTGTGACCTCGGCATATGAAGAGATAGTGTGGTCAGCACTATGCCCAGCCGCCCTTACTTTCCCTAACGTGAGTTAGGTACCCATCAGAGTTGGGTGGACTCAGGGACGGTCTACTGACTTAACCCAGATTCAAACTCGAGACTTACGGGTTAGCAGTCCAGCTCTCTACTGCTAGACCACTCCAACCCACCATTGTATCCCTAGCAGACCGGTTATTTTATTAAACTTATTTTACAAAAAGCTAGGTATTTTCAAATTTATACATTATTGTAAATTATAACCTTGTGATTCTTACTGTGCAAGGTAAACAAACAGCACTTAAGAAAATTCAGCATCTGTTCTGGTTAGTGCCCAAGATATGTGGCAGATGAAGTAGAGTTCGTCTTTTTCAGTGACATCTGCATTCAAAAGGTGTAGTGTAGTCAGTACTACCTAATCCAGCTGATTTAGTTTTCTCTAGCATGAGTCAATTACCCATCACAGCTGGGAACAGAACTCAAGACAATCAGGATAGTAGCAGTGGCGGGGGGGAGGGGGGTACATATGTCCCCGGGTGCCGACCTTAGGGGGCGCCAAAATGGGTTGGAAAAATAAATTATAAATAGTTTGGGGGGGGGGGGGGGGGTGCAAATTGAAAGTTTGAGAGGGGTGCACATCGAAAGTTTGAGGGGGGGTGAAAATTAAAAATTTGCTCCCGAGGGGGGCGCCAAATTGAAAGTTTGTCCCCGGGAAGGGTCGCTACGCCTCTGGATAGTAGTCGTGTGCTCCACCGCCCAACCTCTGCATCCCATACTTTACTTTAGAAAATTGATTGCATGTAATTTGGTAATTTTCACAACCTTTTCTCAATATTTACCACAGGCTGATAACATAGAATAGAACAAAGATGACTGATGCCAATCTTCCTCTGTCATTTGGTAATGTTATCTAAGCTGTGTTTACAATGTGTTTCACTTATACAATAATACACTTTTTAAATAACACATCTTTAATAATGGAAGTAGGGGACTCCTCATGGGGCGGAGTGATCTAGCGATAGAGAGCTGGACTGCTAACCCGTAAGTCTCGAGTTCGAATCCGGGTTCAAGTCAGTAGACCGTCCCTGAGTCCACCCAACTCTGATGGGTACCTAACTCACTTTAGTGCTGACCACACTATCTCTTCATATGCCTAGGTCACAGAAACAAGTGAACTCTACTTCACTTGCCCTATAGACCGTCAGGTTTGAAAGGGGAACTTTACCTTTTTTTAGGGGACTCCTCAGTCTAGAGGTAACATGCATTTCAATCAAATGGTCATGTGTTCTTTTATCTTGAGACAGAGGTGTAGTTCCCCCAGATAGCTTCTCCCCCCCCCCCCCCCCCCCCATCCCATTCTCCCCAACACACATTTCCAATCCATGTGATGCAAAGAATAAAAAAGGAAGAACAAGAATAAGCTTGGTGACAACAGCTAATTTGTATTCTAATGGGTTCAGAGAAAAATAGTCCAACTCAAAACTGCGCAAACAGAAAATGTGCATGTGCAAATTAACTATACTAATACACTTTCATTTTGTCATAATTCATGGGTTAAATGTTTTATCATGCTACAATGTACTTGTCATTTTTTGCTAATGTATAAAAATGCTTGATTTAATAAAACAAAAATGCTCTTGCGCATTTTTTTTGTGTACAATGTTTTGGTCACCATTCTAACAATTCCAATGCCTCAATCAATCAGACATTTTTTTTAAAAATTAATAGTTTTTTTAAGTTTTTAATTTTTTAAAGTTAGTTTTATTATTCTGTAGTTTTTTTTTTTTTTTGTTTAAATTGTATTAATTGATTATCTTTAAAAATATTTCAGAATCCTGTGCTGCCGAGCTTCATGAAATAGCACTGAAGCTGCCAAATGGTACCATCAAGAACAATTATGCGTTTCAAACAGACTTACTTATTTCAAAGGTGATTACTCAATTAAATATTTCTTCTAATACTTCTATAAATATTTAGAGTGATTCATTATTTATGATAAAATATTAAGACATTTCCTCTAATCATTCCCACAGGCCAATGTTCCCCATAGTAATTATCTCCCTCTTGAGAATACCTATCATAGTAATTATCTCACTCTTGAGAATACCTATCATGCATGTTACAGGCAAAGTGAGAAACTTGGCATTCTATAGACTTATAGAAGTCCTTAAACTTTCTGACCTTCTACAGAATAAAGTATTTCATATTTTGCCTAAGCATTCTATTGGGCAAGGTAAAAGTAGGGAAATTGAGAGGGTGCAAAATCTTATTCCGTCCAGAAAATTTTCTAACCTTAGACTTAGCTTTTACAATGTAGGTTTGGTTTAGTATTAGGGTTACGGTCCATTTGTCATCAACAGTTGGTAAAGTTGTACAGTTTATAGATGGGGTAATTGACAAGGTGTAATGCTCTAGGCGCCCCATGCTTTTTCTATAGACAGTTTAGAATAAACATTTGTTTAACCCATACAAACACCTTTGCTGTATATGTAGGAAATAGAGAGAATCTGTAAAGAAGAGAACTTGGTCCAACAACCACCAGATTTAAAGATGCAGATGTACTATGGCCAGGGCAAACAAAAAGTTATGGACAACAAGAGGAAGTTGAAGTTCTACATGATGGATTTCCCTATATGTCAAATAGAACTGGTCGCTGAGAGGTAGGTATAATCAACTTTTAGAAAAGTATGGTTTTAAACACTTTCAATTGGTGTTTCTTTCAGACATTTTCCTCCACTGGAGTGGGGGGGGGGGGGGGGGGAGAACAACAACACTGGTTAAAGTATGTAATTTTTGTATATAAATATTATTTTCCTTATTTAGTTCAGGGAGAGGGGGGGGGGGGTTGGCTTGCTGCAAGGGGGAGGGAGAAGATTCCTGAAAGAGATGCTGTTTTATCCAAAACAAAGACGTTTTATACATTCATGATGTTGTGAACACAACAGTTTATGCATACATAGTATGTAGCAGCACAATACAAACTAATAAGGTAAAAAATATTCAGGGAATAAAAAACACTAAAACAAATATATTAATTCAATTTAAAGCTTTTGTAGACAAAAAATATAAATAAAGATTTAATATATTCTATCTATGCATTTTGGCAGGTAAATAAACAGATCTGCAGTATTTTAACAAACTTACTTACAAAAGATATTTAAAATACCTAAGATGACAACAATACTGAGACCATTTGAAACCAATAACCATGTTTTATACCTACACATGTCCAATGCTAACACTAGTGACAGTACAACAAATCCAAGACAATAAACAGTTGGTTTAGGGGTGCTCATGGTTGCTAAACCAAAAAGTCTCGAGTTCTAAACCTTGTGCAGATGAGGCTCATTAGCTGAGGATAGCCACTCTTCTAGGAGAGACAACTCCAAAATCAAACAACTGCTGCCTTGTAGTTTGTTCATGGTTGGACAAAGGCTATGGAAGCAAATCCAAAAAGAAAAGCACCCTGAAAAAGGAGTCAATGGCCTCAATGGTGCATAACCAGTCGACACATATACTTAATAAATAATTGTGTAGGAGGGGATCCCTTCCAACACTGAATTTAAGAATGAAGAAGAAGAAGAACAGTTGGTTTAATATTGAAATAGATTTCATTTCTCTAACACTATTAAGTATTACATGTCAATGTACTGTATGGCCCTTTGACTTCAGCCTGCTTTCCTTTCTGGATTTGCTTCCATAGTCTTTGTCTGCCCAAGAACAATATTTTGGAGTTTTCTCTCCTAGATGGGTTGCTTTCTCCCATCTAACTAGCCTCATCAGCCGGGAGTCAGAGCTCAGGTCCTTTGGAGTTAGCAATCATAATCTCTCCCACCCAACAGTACTGTCCCCTTAGATTATCTCTATATTGCAGACCAAGAAATTTTTAATAGTTTATAAAGTCTCCTCTATAAAATCTTGTGGCCACTCCTATATAGCATTCTGGTATAGCAGAGCTAGGAGGGTTTGTAATTGTTAATTTCTATACAAGTGACTTATTTCTTTTTTGCCCCTTAGGAGAAAGTACGAAACTTTATAAAATCTGTTGTAGAACAGCCAGCCAAATAGTGCATAAAAAAATTTGTATAATTAGTACATATTAGCATTTTATAGTGTCCAGTGTTTCTTCCAGGCATCTCATCTAAAAAATAAATACTTTTACAGATGTGTGTGCGCGTGTTCCCCCCACCCACCCCCATCCCCTGGAGAAAAAAGAAAAAGTCAGGGAGAAACACTGGTAGTGTCTGGCTATGTATTTGTGCATTCCTCTCAAAGTTATGCTTAAATATTATGATCCATTTGTCAAATCTATTTTTTTTCAAGTGCTGCTAAGGATAGTGATGGATACAGCGCCAAACTGGATGGCTTCAATGTGAATATGAAATCTTAAAATTCCACCAGAGCTAAATAATGGATGTGCTTATGACAGCTTGAAAAAATATCCTGCAAGTTCTATTAATTATAAGATAAAATTTGTATAACAAAGATTGTTCTTGATATAAACTATAAACCATATTGGTATTGCTAACCGGTGATAGTTAGGTTTGAGGTTTTAAATATAGTTATCAGTGGTATCAGCTATACAATATTGTAGGAAAGGTTAATGCATTTTACCTTAAAACCTAAACAGTTTAAAGTTACGTAAATTTTATGTTGTGTTATAAATTCCTTAGAGTGAATTTTTCAATTAAAGAACATAGATAAAAATGATAAAAGCATTAAGAAATAGTTATAAATGCAGTTTCTATTGACAGTAGATTAAGTAAAATATATAAATTAATAGTAAATATGTGTTTAAAATTATAGTAATAGCAGGCATTCAACTGGAGACACTTTTTACAAACTTCTGAATGTTGTATTTTTTCATTGGCAAAAAACCTTATTTGGCAGGACAGTTTTAAGTGGCAGGTTGTTTATTCTTTATTGAGTGCAGCATATCTCTTTCCTTATTGTTGAGTGTTTACAATATAGTTAAATTAAGGTGTCTATCTACTGGTGGGGTGTTAAAATGGCGATTAACTTCTCTGGTTCAGATAGTTGTATGATTTGCCTAAAAAATACAATGTTGGTCATTTTAGCTGAAGTGAAATGTAAATCTTTTTTTATTCTTGCCATTCCAAAACCTCATTTATAAACTTACTGTAATTTAGTGATCAATTAAATAATTGTAATAATACGGATAATTATAGTTAAAACCTAATTTCTTTTTCCAGTAATCTCAAATTTATAAGCAAACTTTAGTATTAGACCAAACCTTGCCTTCTCTTCAACATTGTGTTCAATTTTACCGACACTATACTGTGTGCTTTTTAATTTTATCACTGTATAGAAAAGGAGGTGTAGCCATACTGTAAAAATTAAAACTGATCTATTAGTATTTAATCTCAGGGCTTTTCGAGTTTTAAAAACACAAAACGGACTATATTTAATCTGGATCTGAGAAACCTTGGATAATCATTAGTGTCAATTTTTAATTGTGGGTTCTTTTAATTGTAAGGTTGTTTTTTTTTTAATTTTAATATTTGGCAATGCATTGTGTTTTATACCACTGTTATTAGAAAACTAAATAACTGTTTTTAGCACTTTCACTGTCTTTCAGTCTTTAAGAAAAAAATGATTTTTTTTTTACTGCAGTTGTTGTGGCTCATAGAATTTAAAGAAAGCCTTTTAAACAATCTATGTTGTATTAAAGGCTTAATTTTTTTTTTTACTGCATTTCTCTTGCCACTTTATGTATTTACAGAAACATTTTTTTTATCTGTATAAGCTTTGAGATTATGAGTCTAGTCTTCAATTTGGACAGAACATTGTTGACATGGTAACTTCCTCTAGAATATTATTGATTTTAGTATTGTAGACAGAAATCAAACATAATTTTTATGTATTTCAAGAAAATACAAAGCTAAATATTTCTATCAATATACACAATTACTATATTTTAAACTTTAAAAAATTGTCTTGTTTTCTTTTAATGTGATATACCAAAAATATTTGTATGCTCCATTTGTCTTTAATTAAGCAATTATACATAAACCTTTTTTGTGAAAAAGAGTGTGTGTGTGCATGTTTCAATTGATAAATGTATTTGAAATGTTATTTATTGATCATAGTTTTTAATTGAATGATTTTTTAAAAATGTTTTATATGCATAATTGTTTTGTTCGATAGATGTGCTATAAACTAATGTTACTGATAGTCTGTTTTCAATACTCAAAATTTTGCAGTATATAAAAGGGTGTGGCACACACTAGTCTTCCATGAAAACTGAAGCAGGTTGATGCTTAAAATTAAAATCCTTGTTAACTTACATTTGGAGAGTGCTCACAGCTAGTTGGGGAAAACAAAGATATCTGGTAATTATTGAGCTCCATATATTGGACTACCTTCTGACGAATTGTTTTGGAATAATAATCTGTATTTAATATTCTTCTTATAAAATTTGCTTATGACTGCAAAATTATCACAAGATTTTAACAAAGCATTGATCAAATATGAAACTCAATTTGTAGTGCTACAACGCTTTTGTGTCCGACAATTGTAAAATGAACCGCTCATTTTTAAACTAGTTTTTAGTTTCTCCAGTTCTTTCTAATACCATGTGGTTTTAAAGTTTTTTTATGCAGCTACAATTTTTTTTTTTAAATTTATTTTAAATGTTGACCTGTGGCCAATACATTTTTTGTGTGGCTTGTGTGCATTGATTTTCTGAACGGTTTATATTTTTTTTTATTTAAAGGTCAGATAAACCTTATAATTTTATAATTTAAAACAAAATTATTTATATTTGTTCATCAAATCAGAAATTTAGAATTTCTACAGTTCTAACTTGCACCTCCTTCCCCGCCCTGCTGTTTTTAAATCTTAGTCTTTAAAAGATGTATTAGTAAAAAAAATTGATTCATTGTGTTGAAAAAATTCATTCATTTTTTAAGATACTTAAATAATTGGTTGCTACATAATATTGTTTGTTAAGCTAAATAAATTCTGAATAAAATTCTGTAAATGTCTATTCTTTCTAAATGATTATATTTGTGGTTATAATAAAAGTATTAGACTACAATTTTTTTTTATGCAAGTTCTATTTGTTGTTGAACTTTGATGCTGATTAATAAGTTGAACATTTTTAAACCATCAATTAAAAATTAACTGACTGACTTTATTTATCATTGCTCTTAATTGAGAAAATATTATTATTGCTCATATCAAAAGTGTGCTAGAATACATATTTTTCAATAATACCATAAAAGATAGATCTATTTCTAATGGCATTATTTTCATTGATAAAATTAGCCGTTTTGCAAAATATTATGAAAAATATACTCGATATTTTTCTCATAAAAATAGTAAAAAGTGTAACTAAATTTAAAATTAATTATTTCATTTCAGTAAAATATTTTTCAGTTTTGATTCTTTGTTTTCTTGAAACTAATAATTTGATGTTTATCATTAGGCACTGTGAAGCAGTGGGTACAGGGATATTTAAAATGATTATTATTTTATGGTTATGAGTCAGTTATCTAAACTTTGTCAATCAAAATGTATCTTAGCTGAATTTTGAAATATCATGGTTAGTAATAATGGCATGTAACTAGTATATGTACTATCTTGAAAGATATTGTACATATATACAGTACCCAAGTTTTTTTTTTTTTTAGAATTAAAAAAGAAAGCTAACTTTTATTGTTGTTAATTTATAATATCAGAAATATTTCTACCCTCAGGAACACTATACATGATAGCATTAGATATTATATGATAAATAAAGTTATTTATTTCATGCTTCTTTTTTACTTCAATTACATTTTTCATATCTATTTATCTATGACCTATTAACAGCCTGTCTTCTAACTATCCTTCACACCTCTTTTATACCTACATTTCTCATTGGGGGAAAAATACACAACTTAGGGCTAAACTCAACTCACAATCCCAGGGTGTTCTTAACAAATCTAGCCAAGCCTTTAAAATGGCATGAAACACTGCTTATAAAAGTTGTATCTGTTCTCAACTTACATTATTTACTTTTAGTTTTACCCATCAATTACTGCCACATTTTTTACACCTTTCTTCAGTTTGCCTTGTGTTATTTTTTTAATACATTTGTTTTGGTTTGGAAAAAAAAATTTCAAACTTGATAATAATTGTTTAGTATTTTCAAACTGACCATTTTACTCGCTAATAAATAGTAAAATTTTGAGAATCAAGAAAATATAACAAAGACTTCTATTTATACTATAATTTTTAAAAAAAATATGCCTATTCAAAATACAAAATAAATTTTACTTATTTAATATCACTAAACCAGTTTTGGGTTTATTTCAGTCTAGTTTCAAAATAAGTAATTTCTCTAAAAGAGGTAAGAAGATTCTAATTGTATCATTTTACTATAGCTGCTTTCATTATAACAGCTCATGTCTTTTTTGCAGTTGAAACTAATTACTATTATGCATTTCAGAAAGGGATGTGAGTTTAAATACTTGTTTCCGTCACTGTCACCACCCATGACAAGCCCACAAACAATATTCTAAACCCCTGTAGGCCAATATGTTAGAAGTCTTGTCTGATGTCAGGTGTATAGACACACATACAAGTATAAGCAATTTGTACAGGCATGTTCTACTTCTTTCTTCTTCTTCTTCCTTCTTAATTTTAGTATTGGAAGGTATACCCTCCAACTCAATTAAGTATACATGTCAACTGGTTATGCGCCATTGAGGCCATTGACTCTGATTTCAGCCTGCTTTACTTTTTGGATTTGCTTCCATAGCCTTTGTCCAACCAAGAACAAACTACAAGGCAGCAGTTGTTTGTTTGATTTTGGAGTCTCTCCTACGTTTATATATATATATATATATATATATATATATATATATATATATATATATATATATATATATATATATATATATATATATAAACAAAAGTATGTAGGTGTGTGTCCTTGTGATCAATATGGGGCCTGGGTTCATTTTAAAGAGTTCGATACACTATGGAAACAATTGGTTACTATAATCGATTACTAAGTCAAACCATGTGCTTCCTAAGGCACCCCTACAGAGTGCGGTTTGGTGCCCCAAGACTCCCCTGTGAGCACTATGGTGCATACGTTAATTTCAAAGAGTGCAATTCACTGTGGATACGATGGGCTACTATAATCGTTGACTAAAATCTGGCAAATCCGACGGCGTCCCCACTGTCGGGTGACCTGCAGCACTCCAAGCTCCCCCATGAGCACTATGGCACCTTCTTTTGTTTAAAAGAGCACCCTACAATATAGACACTGTGACGCAGGACATTCGATGATTAAACCGAACCAGGGGATGTACCTGGTGCCCCTGCGATAGTGTAACCAGTGGCTCCATGAAAGCACCCAGCAATGCCCCTGATACATGGGCGGGCACTGAGGTCTGCTAATAATACACTCAAGATTTTGTGACCTACTTAGGTCGAGTCATTTTTATTTTGACATTGTATAATTCCTTATATGGAATGATGGTGTAACACCTGGGGTTTTTCCACTGACTTATTAAGGTGTTTGAGACATAGAAATTTTCCATTAAAATCTGATTGAATGATTCTGATCAGATGATTATCCCAACCAATGGCGACATGAGTTGAGGATAACCTCCCCTGTCACAGAAGTCTATAATTGCACTGCACACTCGCAACACGAGGCAGTTTTATCTTGACCTGGCAGTCTACGAGGCCGTTTTACCTTGGTCAGGTTGCCGTCCATATTATCCGGCTATAGACTCTGACCATTTGAACGTGAGAGTACTTAAGACCTGTGTGTGCCTTGCTTTCTTAAGTTGATTTAGTCTTCTAGTTTAATATTACTTGTCGCTAAGTAATTCTAGAAACTACAGCAGTGTTGTGTGGCCTGTAGCTGTTCTTTAGACAGTGTAGAAATCTGTGATAGTGTTTTTTCCTACATTGTGTAAGTTGGTTTTTGATATTTTATACATTAAATATTTTATTTAGTTCTACCTTGTGTTCTGCCACTTCTGAGTTCGCTGATTAAAAGGTCGTATGTAGATTGGATGAGTGTTAATTACAATAGTATCACTAGCTTCCCTAGACATTAAATTCGAGCCCAAGTGGTCGTTGTGTTAAGTGTTCATCCACTTAGGCCGTAAGGCATTTGCATATGACCCCGAAAAAAGAATCCGGGGACGTTCTCCTTCTATTTGGCTGATAGATAGGTTAACGTTACAAAGTGGGGGCCCGTCCGGGATTTAATCTGTCGTTCCAGTTGTTGGTTATATCAGTTGAATACTAAGGTTAGTTGGATTTAGTTGTTTTATATCCAGTAGCGCAGTGTTCTTACAACGCGCGCTCAGGCTAGAGTATCTAGGTCAAATAAGCAGACGTGTCACGTCCTACATTTAGAGGTCAAGTACACGGCCCAACGCTGTGTATTAATTTAAAGAATCTAGGCTTGTTGTGATTTTCAAGTTAGTGTTATGGAGTCTTTTTTGGCTAATCCTACTTTTGAAGAGGTCGAAAAGTTGAGTAGAAAAGTTTTGGTTAGTGTAGTTAAGGAATTGAAATTGGATTATTCTGTTACGCAGAAGTCAGAAGTGTTGAGAGATAAAGTTGTTGTTCATTTTATTAATGAAGGGGTATTTGATGAAAGTTTGTTGGCTGGTGTGTTACTCCGCGAGGAGAAAGTTGCTTTAGAGAAGGCATTAAAAGAACAGGAGTTAAAGGTTAAAATTGCTTCAGATAGGAGGAGGTTGGAATCAGAATTTGGTCAAGTTAGTGATGTTACTTCTCTGGTAGATCCAAAAAAGTTGTCGGTGGGGCAAGTGATTGCCAAATTTGGGAAATTAGTTCCTAAATTTGATGAAACAGATTTGGTCGTTTTCTTTAACTCGTTTGAGAGTTTAGCGAAGACATGTGAATGGCCCGAAACTTCCATTACTGCTTTATTGAGCTCTGTCCTTACTGGGAAAGCTGCAAAAACATACCAGGCACTCTCTCACGACGTTCAAAATAACTATAGTTTGGTCAAAACTGCCATTTTAAAGGCCTACGCACTGACGCCCGAGGCCTATCGGACAAAATTCCGAACACTCCGCAAGTTACCCACACAATCATATGTGGAATTTCTCTTTGAAAAGGAGAAAATATTCTCAAGGTGGCTACACTCTGAGGAAGTTTCTGAGTTTGAGAAACTCAGGTCACTTATCCTAAGGGAAGAATTCCTATCGTCCCTGCCTGAAGAGATACGACTACACATTCTGGATAACAAGATAACTGACATCCAGAAGGCTGCTGAGTCGGCTGACACCTATATGTTGGTGCATAGGAAACCACCAGTGTCAGGAAACCGCCTCAACCCCGTGCTTCCCCTTTTTGGCAGCAATCATCCTGTTGGCCAACATTTGAAGACATCACAGTCCAGAGAGAAACCAAGATCAACTCTCAATCGTCGAGCAGTATGCCAGTTCTGCAAAAGGCCTGGTCACCATGTCAAGGACTGTTACAAACGTCTTCAGAATAACAGAGAGGTGGTGCGTACTTCCGCGCACTATGCTCTATCCCCTCAAGCAGCCAGTTCAACTATGAACTCTAGAATTCAAAAGGACTCTATCCCTAAGTGTCCGCAAGAAGGTAGTCAAGTCTCCACACATTATGTGCAGTCACATTTTGACTGTTCTCGCCACCATCCAGTTTCTTCCGAGTCTACCGATCTCGAGGGATCGAGAAAAGTTGACTTTTCATCTTTTATTGCCGAAGCCATCATTAGCAAACCAGGTGATCCGTTGTCTCAGAAGAATATCACCGTCCTAAGAGACACAGGAGCGTCACAATCACTCCTTTTGAAAAGTTCAATGGACATTACACCTGAGACGAACACCGGAAGGATTTCCATTATCCAGGGAGTGGGGACAAAATCTACTGTCGTCCCTCTACACAAGTTTGCCCTGAAACATCATCTCGTCGAAGGTGAGGTCATTTTAGGTGTGATAGATAGTATTCCAGTCCCAGGAGTACACCTACTTCTAGGGAATGACCTTGCGGGAAGCAAAGTATACCCCTGTACGGTTTCAGACCCTTCGTCAACAGTTCCAGATAATGATTATGAACTGTATCCTGCATGTGCGGTGACAAGAAGCCAGACCAAACAATTGGCTGACACAACGTCTGAACCACACCCGCCGTCATCGTCAAGAAATTCGACTCCCAAACTGGAGTCTATGCTTCCAGAAAACACAAGCCTGGGCTTACCCCTGAGGATATCTCAGGAAGACATCATTAAAGCTCAACAAGTCGACGCGGAACTCAAAGCAGCGGTCGAAAAATCTCTATCATCTGACGATGGAGAATATTTCTCCGAGAACGGCCTCTTCTTTCGTCGCGCTATACCAGTGAATGCCTCACCAGCCGAACCATGGTTGGGTAAAAACCAGCTGTGGATCCCTCCACCTTATCGGCATGAAATACTTAAGCTGGCACATGACCATCCAATGTCAGCGCACCCAGGAGTCACTAAAACGACGGCGAAGATCAAAGAACTGTTCTTTTGGCCCAAAATGAGAAATGATGTGTCGCGTTACTGCAGAAGTTGCACGAACTGTCAGTTGGCCGGAAAGCCAAACCAGACAATTCCTAAGGCCCCTTTGAGTCCGATTCCTGTATTGGAAGAACCTTTTTCTAAAATCGTCATGGACTGTGTAGGTCCCTTGCCTAAAACCAAGGCGGGCAACGAGTACCTACTTACCTTTATGTGTTCAAGTACCCGTTTTCCCGAGGCGATTCCCTTACGGAACATTAAGGCAAAGACTGTAGTCAGAGCCATGACCCGGTTCTTCACTACCTTTGGATTACCTAGAATCGTGCAAACAGATCAAGGCAGCAACTTCACCAGTCACCATTTTCAGGAAGCACTAGCCAAGCTAGGCGTTACCCACATCACCAGCTCAGCCTACCACCCTCAGTCTCAAGGCGTACTTGAGAGGTTCCACCAAACCCTCAAAACCATGCTAAGAACGTTCGCTAACAGTAACACCCAATGGGATGAGTCTGTTCCTTGGATTATTTTCGCCGCGAGGGACTGTGTCCAGGACTCTTTAGGCTACTCGCCTTTTCAACTTGTGTTTGGACACTCTGTCCGTGGCCCCCTGAAGCTGATACACGAACGTTGGACAGGTACCAGTGATCATCCAGTGGAAAACTTCGACGATTTTCACGTTCGACTGAAAGCCGTGTGCGAAATGGCTCACAAGAACTTAAGAAAGGCCCAAGTGAGAATGAAAGGACTGTATGATAAGAGTTCTTGTAAACGAACATTCAATCCAGGCGACAAAGTTCTTGTGCTAGTGCCTAATCTGAACAATGCGTTATCCTTGAGATATTGTGGACCCTTTACTGTGCATTCAAAATTAAGTGATTTGAACTATGTTGTCAATACGCCCGACAGAAGAAAGAAACAGACAGTGTATCATGTTAATTCACTGAAAAAGTATTATGATAATTGTAACAATTTTCATTCCACAGCTAAAATTACTTTACCTGTATGTTCAAATGTTTCTGATGATGTGATACATGATAAATTGAAACCCCCAAAATTGGTAAATTCTTCCTTTTTAGATAATTTGAATGTCCACCTTATGCATTTGTCCACAGAGAAAAGCCATAGATTGTCTCAGTTATTCGAGACATTTCCCTCTATTTTTGGGGATGTCCCCAAAGAAGCGAAGGTTCCACCTCATGATGTAGACGTTGGTGACGCAAAACCCATTAAACAACACCCCTATAGAGTTAACCCGGAAAAAGCTGCTTTGATAAAAGATGAAATTGATTATATGCTCAAGAATGATATCATTGAGCCCAGTTTCAGCAACTGGAGTTCCCCATGTCTCCTAGTACCGAAAGACGGTGGATCTTTCAGGTTTGTGACCGACTTTAGGAAGGTAAATGCGCTCACCAAAGCTGATTCCTATCCATTACCTCGGATAGAAGACGTTATTGATAAAGTTGGTCAGGCTAAGATAATTTCCAAAATTGATTTACTTTCAGGATACTGGCAAATCCCCTTATCTGACCGTGCAAAAGAAATATCTGCTTTTGTAACCCCTAATGGTTTTTATAGATACAAACGTATGCCCTTTGGTATGCGAAATGCTGGTCAAACTTTCCAGAGAGTCATTAACTCTGTCATTGCTGACATAGACCAATGTGAGGCCTACATAGATGATATAGTTGTATTTTCTAATACTTTTGAAGAACATATTGTTCAGTTGACTAACCTTTTTAGAAAATTGTCTGAAGTGAATTTTACTGTAAACTTACATAAAAGTGATTTCTGTAAAGCTTCAATTACCTATTTGGGTTATCAAGTGGGAACGAACCAAGTTCGGCCCATTGAAGCTAAAGTAGATGCTATTGTAAAGTTGCCACCTCCCAAAAATTGTAAAGAGATCAAAAAGTTCCTTGGGATGGCTGGTTACTATAGGCGGTTCTGTCGAAACTTTTCAGCTATTGCTGAATCTCTTACTGCATTATTGAAAAAGGGTGTTGAATTTGAATGGTCAGATAAATGTCAAGAAGCTTTTTTAACCATTAAGTCATTTCTATCTAATGCTCCTGTTATGGCTGCACCAAATTTTAGCAAGCCCTTTAAACTTGCCATTGATGCTAGCAACTTAGCCATTGGCTCAGTCCTATTTCAAGAAGACAACATGGGAATTGACCATCCCATTGCCTTTTTTTCCAGGAAGTTAAATGAGAACCAAAAGAATTATTCTACTACTGAAAAAGAAGCTTTAGCTTTGGTTTTATCATTACAACATTTTGAGGTCTATGTCTCTTCTTCAACCAATCCAGTCAGAGTGTTTTCTGACCATGATCCCCTGAAATTTACCTCTAAGTTAGGACAGACAAATCAAAGAATATTGAGATGGTGTTTATATTTCCAAAATTTTAATCTGGAAATTTCACACATTAAGGGTAGTGATAATGTTGTGGCTGATTGTTTGTCAAGGATGTAAAATCTTATTGTGCACATTGATCATGTGACATGTTTTGTGGTTCATTAAGACCATACACAAGTGTTGTGTTTTAACATGAAAATGAGTGGTATGATTTTTGATTTTTTCAAAATTCCAATCCTATTGAATATTTTGTTTATTTTCAGGTGAACCTTAATTAAAGGTGGTTTTTGATTATATGTAATCTTTTATAATAATATGTCTCATATGACTCTATTGATATTGTAGCTAGTCATTGAAATAAAGGTCTTACCCTGGCGGGTTTACCACTTTTAATATCCACATGGAAATATTGTAATACCCTTTTTTGAGGGATTTTGATGTATAATTACTTTTTGAAGGGTTACTCCCCTTTCACCAATTGTAAAAGTTGGAGTTACTTCCCTTTTATGTTAAGGGATATTTTCATCTGGTATTATGATTTTGATTGCCTACATTTGTAAAACATTTTTGTTACTTCATTGCCAGATTGGTTCCCTATGTATGTTTTTGTGGAACCTATCTGTCACTTCCAAAAAGGGAGGGGATGTGACCTACTTAGGTCGAGTCATTTTTATTTTGACATTGTATAATTCCTTATATGGAATGATGGTGTAACACCTGGGGTTTTTCCACTGACTTATTAAGGTGTTTGAGACATAGAAATTTTCCATTAAAATCTGATTGAATGATTCTGATCAGATGATTATCCCAACCAATGGCGACATGAGTTGAGGATAACCTCCCCTGTCACAGAAGTCTATAATTGCACTGCACACTCGCAACACGAGGCAGTTTTATCTTGACCTGGCAGTCTACGAGGCCGTTTTACCTTGGTCAGGTTGCCGTCCATATTATCCGGCTATAGACTCTGACCATTTGAACGTGAGAGTACTTAAGACCTGTGTGTGCCTTGCTTTCTTAAGTTGATTTAGTCTTCTAGTTTAATATTACTTGTCGCTAAGTAATTCTAGAAACTACAGCAGTGTTGTGTGGCCTGTAGCTGTTCTTTAGACAGTGTAGAAATCTGTGATAGTGTTTTTTCCTACATTGTGTAAGTTGGTTTTTGATATTTTATACATTAAATATTTTATTTAGTTCTACCTTGTGTTCTGCCACTTCTGAGTTCGCTGATTAAAAGGTCGTATGTAGATTGGATGAGTGTTAATTACAATAGTATCACTAGCTTCCCTAGACATTAAATTCGAGCCCAAGTGGTCGTTGTGTTAAGTGTTCATCCACTTAGGCCGTAAGGCATTTGCATATGACCCCGAAAAAAGAATCCGGGGACGTTCTCCTTCTATTTGGCTGATAGATAGGTTAACGTTACAATTTTCATACAGCATGCCCTGGGGCGTTCGGTAGATAGCACATATTAAGTCAGTCTGTTAAACAGTTACATCATGCTTTCACCATTTGTGAAAAAAAGCTTTTCTGTGCATAAGGCTAATGACCCTAATCTTAAGTTAACTGATTCACTGTTTTGAGGGAAGGAAGGGATAAAGGGGGTCTTATATAATACAAATATAGTCAGTGGCGTCGCTAGATCCGATGTCACCCGGTGCCTTGTGGTGTCACCTCCCCCCCCCCCCCCCCAAGAAACAAAGTTCGTGTATGTGTGTCGGCCTTCGAGTTAGCATTAATTTAAATATATGCCATGTACGCATACATGTATGGTTTTAAGCTCAGTGCAGACTTAACAGTAACAATGTTTATCTAGATCTATAAGCGGTAAATAATACAGTTGGATGTAGCATTTTTTTCTCTATAGTTGGCATGTTTATGTCGGTGTTACCCCCACCCCCTTGTAATAATTGTCGATTTATACTTAAAAGACTATTCTACTATAATTAATCATTTATGGTACTGGCAAAAGCACTTTTCTTTTGTACATTTTGCAATTTTTTGCACATGTGTCAGTCGGTGCGGTCCGCACCCCACCTCCCCCCCCCCCCCTCCTTGCTACACCTCTGAATATTAGATTGCAGTATTACGACATATGCAACACTCAACACATTTACATGGAATGAAGGGAAACAACTTTGATAAATAATTTTATCAAGATGGCCGCTTAGCTAGCAACTAGCCTAAGTTAGACTTTTCCTTTGATAGGTGATTTTTATCGTGTTCTTTAACAACTTAACCATTTCTCTTGTATAGAATCTATATAAAAACGCATTGATTACTTTCACGTTTGATAGTTATAAAATTTCAACAATCTATTTATTTAATACTAACATGCCGAAAATAAACACAGTACGACTTTTAGATCGCGAGATCCAAAACCTGCCAAAAAAAAAAAAAAAACAGGGATTTAGATCTATATGAATGCAACTTATTTTGCTTGCATTTTAATTTTTAACACAAATATTATAGTAGACTCTAGATCTAGATTTTTGACACATTTTAGATTTAGATCTAGCAATAAATATTGATTAATGCACATGCTTTCTGTGATGTAACATAATTAATTACTAGATCTAATAATTAGTCATTAGGTAGGTGTCAATAAAAAAAAAAGAGTCGGACTAAAGCCATCAGAAGCATTTTGAAGGGGGTTTGACATTTGTAATGGGGGGGGGGGGGATATAATTTAGCAAAAAGGTTGGTCATTAATGGACAATCCCTACAATAGTCAATAGGCCTAACTAGCTAATAATTAAAAATGGGATCTGCTAGTCTAGCTGCTTGGGCTTTCCATTTTTGTTTTATCTTAATAAATTAATAATAATAATTTTTTAAATATTTCATTTGAGTCGACTGTAAGTCCACCTTTCTTAAAGATAGCACACAATTTTAGGTGATTTTTACATTATAGATCTACAACACAAAAATAGAACAGATTTGACCCACCACCTCACCTGAGGCACCCACTTTACAGAATATAATGAACTAAAGAAGTGAACATTTAATTAAATTATAATTTTGTAATGAACAATATTAAATCCAGTTGATTTTAAAAATCTAATGTCTTGTTTTTTAACAATGTAAAAGTAATGAAAAGAGTAAATGATTGTATTATTTCCTTTCTGATGTTTATTTTTCAGAATGTAAGTATGTTGAGTAGGCCTTTAATTCAAACATGGGGGATGAACTTTTTAGTGGTAATACAATTTGTAAACCTCTTGTTAAAATACTCATTAATTAAATCATGAAATTATGCATTAAAAACATTTAATCTTGCATAGTAAAAGAAACAATATCATAAAATACCAGTAGATTTGAGTTCTAGGCTACTACAATAAAATGCAACACATGGTAGGCCTAATATTTTTCATTTTAGTCATGCTTACAAAAGCTTTGTCTTAAGTTTATGTTTGTAATTAATTAAAATTAGGAAATGAATAAAATTATTCCTTAAAATATCTGAAACTTCATCAACAGATGCAGGTTGTGCTCCGCTACATGAGATACACCTTAAGCTACCAAATGGGGATGTAAAACCCAATTTTGAATTTATACTTATGCTGGAGGTTGGAGAAGTAAGCGCTGACTAAAAAAAATATAATCCAAAGCCATTTTCTTAGGAAATTTTTTTTTTTAAATCCTGTTTTTAAATCCTTCTTATTTTAAAAACTAGATATAAAGTAAGAAAATATAGAAGTAAATTATTTTTAAAAATGTGATATGATGCTTTTTTTCTGTTAAAAAATAAATATTCTCATTAAAATCTTTTTAAGGAAATAAAGAGAATTTGTGAAGATCTGCAACTCACATATAGGGCGGATGAATTACAGATGGTTTTGTTTCCCACAAATGGAAAGTCAGAAATCTTGGACAAAACAAGGACTTTAGAAAGTTATCTGCATAATTTATCCAGTGGATACATACAACTCCAATGCATATAAAATCTGTAACTTTTGTTGTGTAAATCATTCTTTTCGAAATATTTTTAACTTCAGATCTATTTAAATTTTTTATGAAATTGTGTAAATTGGGTAATTATTGACAAAAAGAATATTTTTTAAAATCTGATACGTAAATTTCAATCAATTGGAAAGACTATAATTTTGGTATACATGGAGCTTGGGGTCTGTCTACATTATTCTAAAACCTAAAAAAAAATTATACATTTTTTATAATAAAATAATTTATAATTAATAATAAATTTCCTTCATTTAATCTAAAAGAAGACCATGTGTCTTAACTACAGTGTTGTTAGTTTTGAAAGCTTGTTAGAAGATTTATAATTTTTCTAAGTATGTTTACATTTTTTTGACAAAGAAATAATTGATATCTTCCTCACATTAAATTAACATTAATGCAAATGATGTTTTTTTTTTAACTAGTAAAAGTGTACTTATAACTGGAAACTTTTTTTTTTAACTATACTATATGATACATTAAGATTTTCCAAAAAAAAACTATGATTGTTCAAATGATTTTATATTTATAAATCAGTAATTTTTTTTGAATGCTTTTATCTGACTTCTCAAAATTGTAATTGGGATATGGCCATTATTTTTGTTGAGTATTTTCTAACATGAATTCAGGCATATAAGCAGAAGTTTAGCAGTTACAGTTTTTGTCTCTTCAATAAATGTCTTGTACTCTATGGAGAGTAATTTTATATTAACCACTGGGTGGATGCAATAAGACTGTTTATGTTTTTTCTTTTGTTTAAATTTTATTTGTTTGTGCTTTTACAACGCATCTCTCATAATTTCAATAATATTTGTGTAGCAATTAAATATTTTACAAGTGATACATGTCATATTTATTAGGCAGAGATTTTTACTGGCTTTGTCCAAAAACTTGACTTGGTTGATTGAAACATTTATCCATTATTTATCCATTAATCAGAGAGTTCTAATGACTGTAAATCACGCTAACATTTCTTACGCTGCCTTAAGTCTTTGCACATGTTTATAGAAATTTTAACGAATTCCTGGTTGTCTGTAGGCAAAAGTGGTTTTGGGTTTTTATTTTCTTTTGAACTAAGAATTGATCTTATAAAGACTTGTCTATTACTACTGCATTCCATGTATGTGATAAAAGTATTGTAATATTTTTTTTCAAATGCATAATTATAATAGCAATGCTAAATGACTTCATTCAATAACCAAAGCAATGCATTGTATGTTGTTTCGGATAGTAAGAAGGGTAAACTTGTTTCAAAAGCTTTCACTTTTTTAAAACCATTTAGTTACTTATATTTAAAAAAAAAAGTATTTGTATTGCAAATGGTATTTCAGAGTAACTGTATTGAAGAAAACGCAGATAACTATACTTAAAAAGGTGACATGTGTAGCCTACAAACCTAATATTTTGGCATTTCTTATACAATTGTTAAGTATTATTCAAGATTTTTTTTTCATCCTTGTTCTTTAAATTTTATTTTAAAAATGTTTATGTATCTATTTTAAAATGTTTCTACATCATTATCAATATTATTTGATGACAAGTTATTGCTCAAAGACAATACATGATTTAAAACAATTGAGTCTCTTGTTTTGTTTGTTGAGCTGCTTGTAGAATATATTTTACGATTTAGTTTTTGAATGTTAACCAATTGTCTTCAAGTTGACTGCTTTTAAATTATAATATTCAGACTAGAGCTACCTATTTAGGTGTTAAACGTACATAAAATAAATCCCAGTTTGCTCAATGTTTACATAATTCAATATTATTTTAATTGTAGCACCCATAAGTCAAGATGCAATGTGAAAGGCTAACCTATTTATTACATTACCAAAGAAAATTGTATTTTAATTAAAATTACAGATTGTTTATTTCATTTCACAACTATAAAATGGGATCCATTGGTAGTCACTAAAATGACTAGGCAAGTCTGTCCTAGTCAACCCAGCTGTGATATGTATCTTATTAAGCTGGATCTTAGTGCTCTGATCACACATTGTTTTCTTACATTTAGTCTATCACCCTACCCCTGGTCAATGCCCTACCCCGTTAATTACCCTTACATGTTAGTCCCCCTGAGAAAACCTATAATGCATGTTATTTGGTAAAGTGAGAAAACAATAATTTAAAATGGTCAGGCAATCTACAGACGGACAGATACCAAAATGGTCAGACAATCTATAGACTGCCTTTAACATGGCCAAAACTAGTAATCAACAGGGGTAATGTCCTACTGCAGTTCTATGGAGGGGAGATTATATCCAACTAATCAGTGGAAGGTGAAATCGGAAATGGTACTTTTCAGCTAAAATATAGATGACTAAAACAACAAATGTACTTACTTTATTCAACCTAACATTTCATACAGTAATTATGGTACAATAAAATTAAAATCTAAATAGGATGATAGATGGATCACGAAGTTGTACAAACTATAGTGGTAGATTTTTAAAAATTCAGTTGGATTAAACCTAGAAATATGGATTTAATTTTACTTTTAGACATTTTTCTCCTGGGCAGTGGTGTAGGCAAGGGGGAGTTATAAACCCTCCCATGGACCCCTATATATGTATATATATATATATGTATATATATATATATATATATATATATATATATATATATATATATATATATATATATATATATATATATATATATATATATATATATATATATATAGGATTGAATACATATGGAAAAATGTTTGGACCCCTCCCATGACCATTTCCTGGCTACGCCACTGCTCCTGGGTGTGGTGTAGTGGTGAGGTTCTTTTTTCTATTTCATCTAAAGGGGGCAGTGGACAACATTCTTCGGAAATGAGGAGAAGGGGAGTGGAGAGATGCCTGAGAAAAAACAACTGTATGGACTAATATTTTATACTGAAGTATAGCTATCTAGTATTTTATACTTAAAGAATACTCTATATGTTAACAGCATTACTGTTGTTGATTATTTAACAAAGCATTAAAAAAATGACCCACATTTTGTGGATGTATAGTTAAAAATAGACTTATTATAGACTGTTGGGTCAAAAAGAGTACCAGTGAATGATGTATCATGTTTGGCTAATCATTAATGTCTTTAATAGTGTAACATAATATTTTCCTTTCAAGAAATGGGATACTTTTAAGTTATTTTTGTCACAAC